GTGCAGGTGCTGCGCTCCGAGCTGGCGCGGACGCACCGCCTGCCGAGCCTCCGCCGGACGCTCCGCGAACTCCGCGCGGGCCTGGCGTTGGTGGCGGGCCCGGGCGGGGAGGGCCGGCCCCCCTTCGCGGTCGTCGAAGGCCGCTTCGTGGCGGCGGTGGTGTATTTCCGCACCACCTACGCCCCTGGCGACTTCGCGGACGACGCCGCGTGGGCGACCCGCGCGGCCCTCGAGCGCTCGAACGCGGTCAAGTGCCCGAGCCTCCCCTACCATCTGATGACCTTCAAGAAAATCCAACAACTCCTCTGCGATCGCGAGAACGTGCTCGGGCCGCGGTGTTTTGCAGGGGATTCCGCCAAAGCCGCCGCGCTGGCCGCGCATTTTATGCCGCAATACTCCTTAAACGCGGAGGAATCGCCCCTCACGAACTCGGAGGACATCGTCCGCGAGGCGATCGCGAATCCGGACGAATTCATTCTCAAACCCCAGCTCGAGGGCGGGGGAAATATCTTCTACGGGGACGAAATGCGCCGGCTTCTTCAGCTAACCGATGTCCACGACCCCGAATACCTCCACGTCCAAAAGGAGTGTATTCTCATGCGCAAAATTCACAGCCCGGCGGAGACCACCGCCCTCTTTCGCGAAAAAACAATCGTCCCGCTGGAGAAGTTTGCGCTTTCGGAGCTCGGGATCTTCGGCGTTGTCCTTTCCGACGGCGCGGAGTTTATGTTGAACGAACCCGCCGGTTATGTCGTTCGCACAAAACCCGCGAGTATTCAGGATGGGGGGGTGATCGCCGGAAATGCATGCCTGAACAGCTTATTGGTGGTGTGAACCATGTCAAACGGCACAGACATGAGGAAGTAGATATATTGGTATGCTGACATCCGAGTTATTATTATGATAATTATTATGATTTCAATAAATTATACATGACTATCCTTGGTTTAATTCTCCAAATAAAGTGTGTAGGGGTTTGAGTGGACTCTCTCTCTCTCTGACTGAATACTTTCAGATGGGTGAGGGGAAAGGACATCATTGCTGTTCGGTTCATGACTTCATCGAAAATAGGACCAACCCGTAGTTTACGCTGTCTTGAATATGAATTCACACATTCCACTTCAAGAGGTGCACACTTTGTCTATAATATTTTAGAACTATCACAAACATGGGGAATAAGGACTTACAAGTCTATCTATATCTAAAATAAAAGAGTGTAAACGGTATTGTTATTATTGCATGATACACGCTTTTTTAAGTCTGTCAATGTACCTCTATGGGTTAATTTGCGATTTGTATGGTGTCTTACCATTTATAAACTACCCAATAGTCCACTACTTCCCTTCATTTTGTACTGGGAAAGCTGACGTTTGCAAGGCTGTTTGTTTGTTTGTTTCTTTTGTAGATAAATATACCTTCAATACGACAAACTTCAAGAAAGAAAACCTGCACTCAATAAAAAATAAAAATGAGTACCGTCTTTCAAAACCCTTTCCAGTCCTAGGACAAGGTAAAGGTGACCTTGGATACTATGATATTGATATCTATAGATATAATGAAGAATACATCTGATCAAAGAGAAAAGAGTGCGGTTGGATATTATAAGTGGGTATGGAAAATATCAATAAATGACCAGGGATCCCAATGATGAGTTGGAAATGTATTTGCACGTCAGTCTGATGGGGTGCATTCGGCCCTGTTGAGGTGAATAATACACAACAGCCCTTTGCCTTGAGGGCGAGGGCCCCTGAGGGATTTCTTCGGCGAAAAGGATGGAAAATTTGAACTTTGCCCGCACTTTAGTATGGGGTAGAGGGGAGAGATAAAGGTGGGAAATTTTTTAAAAAAAGATAAAAAATAGTGAAAAAGGGATAGGCGGAATGATGAGAAAAATGGAATGGATCGCTGACTCTGAGAAGGGGCGGGCACCGGCGGCGCGTTCGCGCGGGCTGGGGCCGCCTCGCATGCAAGAGAACCATTTCTTTCACACGCGTAAACGTGTTTCTGACGCCGCCCGATGCGGGGAACGCATTCACCCCTCTCCTTTAGATATTTATTGTTTTAGTTGTATTTGTATTTGTATGTTGTTGTACTTTTACACGGCGGGGGGTGATTCTTTCTTTCATAATTGGATAAGGCCCCCCCTGTTGTGAACAAGCCGTTAGTCAGCCGTACTTTATCGTCGGAATACGCGCGGGGGGTTCCCCCTGGCGGGTATTTCACCCTATCGATTGTTTACGGCGTTACGCCGCTTGAAGAATATCGAAATAAATGGCGGGCTGAGGGCGAATCCAACCGAATAATTCATTTTCCTGCCGGATGCGGGGAACTCGGCCCCCGTCCACCGCTGCTTTTTTTTTAGGCCTGTCAATCCGCCTTTTAGAAAAGGGGGGCGTTCGACGTAAATCGTGGGCGAAAAGCCGCTTTTTGAGTCATCCCAAAGCCCCATCGCCAGCGGCGTGTGGGACTTTAGGGGAGGGAAACCTTCAATCCCTTGGGATGAATTATAGTGGCGAGATAAATCTCTCAGAATAGAAAAAAGGAAAAGAGATTAAGGTTCGGTGTGGGAAAGTGGGCGAAGTTGGGACGACGAAGGGTCCATTCGGCGAGGGAGAAGGAACGTTCAATAATGAGCGAAAATGAAGGGAAAATAGTAGGAAGGACGGCGGAATGATGAGAAAAATGGAATGGATCGCTGACTCTGAGAAGGGGTGGGCACCGGTGGCGCGTTCGCGCGGGCTGGGGCCGCCTCGCATGCAAGAGAACCATTTCTTTCACACGCGTAAACGTGTTTCTGACGTCGCCCGATGCGGGGAACGCATTCACCCCTCTCCTTTAGATATTTATTGTTTTAGTTGTATTTGTATTTGTATGTTGTTGTACTTTTACACGGCGGGGGGTGATTCTTTTTTTTCATAATTGGATAAGGCCATCTCTCCGTGATATTATTTTTATCTCATCTTCTTGATTCTTCCTTGTTTTTAAACAAGCAGTTAGTCAGCTGTACTTTATCTTCGTCGGAATACGCGCTGGGGGGGGTTACCCCCTCACGTTATTTTGCTTTATAGATTGTTTACGGCGTTACGCTGCTTGAAGATTCAAATAAAAATCGCGTGTTTTTGAAATGATGACAAACTCAACTAAATATTTTCTGAGATGAAACTCGTTTTTCTGTATTGATAGAATCGCATTGTATCCGCAGAGAAGTCTGATTGAAAACACGGCGGCATTTTTTTACCGATAACGGCGTTAAATGGAGTAGGTTGACTGTATGGGTAGCGCTGAAGCTTCGGAAAGCAGATGCCAAAGATGGTGATTGATTGTTGTTTTGACGAAATATGGCATCTTTTAGGAAGGCTTCGGTCATAAAAGACTCTTTAACGAGTGGAAAATATAGAAAGGGTGCGAGGGTTCCTCTTTTTCTATGGAGACGTGTTCGTTTTCAATACACCGTTTTATTCAGCTTACTATTTAACTGTATGAGCATACACCTAACCAACCGTATTTCACCCTTTATTATTATTATTCTTCTTCCGTGTTGTATTTTCGATGTGAAGGAATTGTGTAGGCTAATCTTTAATAGAAATCACAACCCGAAAGAGATTCCAGACCGAGGATGCCCCAAATCCCCTTCCAGACGCGGATGTGGGATCGCTTTCAGAGCCATAAACGCGATGTTTTCTTCGCCTGCGTGGCGGCGTGCGCTCTGTGTTTGACCGCACGCGCTGAGATGATGCGACATGGGGTTTGGAGGCCGGAACCCCCCATTGAGACCCACCCAAAGGTCTCCAGGCAATTTGGCCACAAAAAAGACGGATTGTCTACTTAGGTATTCGTAGTCCTCTTCAGGTTGCTTCAAACCTAAAAAGGGAAAAAAATGAGGTCTGATTTAGACGAGGAGTTAGCCCCTGAATGCGGTTTCCAGCAATTGGCAATGCTGATATATATATATATATATATATTCATGAATTTCAAACTTTTGCGCTTTATGAAGGTAGAATAAAGCGAGTGATCAGTTTACTTGGTCACCCCGCACTCCCTAACATTATTTAATAAACAGAGAAAGTGTATTTTTCTACTTCCATATTTAACATTAATTTTTTCACTATTCAACGAGAACTACTTTTGACTAGCCTTTTGGCTATTTGTCTCAAAACCCTTATCCGCCATTTGTGTTTTCGTATGCAGTATAGATTGAAAAGAAAACGATGTAAAGGATGGAGATCATGGAACAATGATCAATGACTATTTCTTTTTCAGCTAATCTAGTTCGATTTTGATAAGAAGCAACGAACCTGAACATTGTTATTATTGTTTGGGTAGTAGAAGAAGAAGGGTATTATCGTTAATTCCAAGCAAAGATTCCTCCAAAAGCGGCTCATGTTTTGTTTTTTTTACGGGTCTTTGAACTGCGCTCGTTGTTATGCTCCTGATTGGATGAAATTCACTCCACGAGATATCGTGAGACTTTAAAAACTAGCGCGCTATTAAATAAAGCCCATGATTATATAATACATTAACGAATCCTATACTAGTGGAAAAAAAATGATTAGCTTCCCAGTAGAACTTTCCCGGTACGTGTAGGGTGAATCTACAGGCGCCTTTTTTTAGCGATTGCCTGCGAATTTCGCCCTGGAAGGCTTCAAGTTTTAAAAAAGCAAAAAACGCCCACCCTTGTAAGTGCGCGTCCACCCCTGTTCTGCTCCCCCTTTCCATTCCCCAGTCTATTTACCCTTTCCCTTTTTTCTCTCCCTTTTTGCGGTGGGTGGTCCCCTTTACACCCCACACCTCACACGTCGTGGTCCTGCAGGAAACTTCATGTCCGCGCGATCACCCAAACTAGCATCGGGCACCCAGTTGTATTGCGATAGTTCAAGCCAACCCCCCCCCGGATAGACCGACCGATCGGGGGATTT